AAAAAAGGCAATTAGCGCCAAATTGTATGCAAGAGCTGTGCTGTTGTATACTATTTCAATCTTTCAAGATTTAATAATATCATTTTCCAGAAAGCTAGAATGCAACAACTCCCTATCGCATGAGCGTTTATCCAAAATCTTTACTGTCACATTCCTTCATTTTCATATCTGCATCACAGAGCTATGTAACGCAGATTTTGTCAAGAGCCTTCGCGTTACCCCAGAATGTCAAGGTGAAGCTTGAACGAAGGGAAATTCAAACATGACTGATTGCCTCCTGTACGCATCCTTTGGATCGGCTGAAGAGTGAGGTACGGTTTGGTGACAAGGTCATATATGCTTACATGTTACTTATCACCTGTAACACTTCCAATTATACGGCTGATCCTTTACTTATATAGACGCCAACTTCTTTTGAAGTTCCTCAGTATCCCGTCACGATACCATCTATTTTCTACCTCTTTCTATGCGCAATGGACCTCATTGGGGTTTGGCTGTTCTTGATACGTTCCTAGCGACTATTTGTCTTTACGACTCTTTTGCACACAACTATGGGTTCCCCAAAAGCAAATCATTTATTCAGAAGATATGGAGTTAGGTACTGACATGCCATTGTTGGGCATCATTGTTGCTAATAGGGAAGTGGTTCAACAACAAGTAGATGGCGTTAACTGCGGCGTACTTACCTGTGTCTATGCAGAACGTCTTGCAAGAGGTATTCCACGAAATAAGAAGAGCCAACACAATCATTTCTTCGATCTGCGAGGCTACAAATTGACGAATGCCGTAGAAATGGCTTTGTTGTAAGCGATACAGAATCTTTGAGTACAGTACCCCTTCCATGTGTATTCGATTATTTGCTCCAGGCGCAATGTAGGCTCATTATTACGGAGAATTTTCATGATGAACATGCAAGCACGAGTAGTTGTGAAAATGAGAGATTTTGTCTGGCAGATCACAACCACAACTAAGTTACGTATATGTTTTATCAGCAATCACTTTGGAAGAGGTTGTTTTTCTATCTTCTTGCTCTTAAGTCGCATTCGAGTATC